TTTTTCCCCGAGGTCGGCCTGTTAGCTTAGCTCGTAGCTTAGCTCGTAGCTTAGCTCGTAGCTTAGCTTTTCAGCTTAGCTGCTTTTAACTATCCAAAAACACGATTTTGGACGATTAAAATGGATTTTAAAGAAAAAAGAGAAAGGGAGGGGTCAGTGAAGAGCACGGGAGTTGAACCTTTTGTCACCCGGTGTCTTCAGTAGAAAGAGAGAGACACAAAGAAACGATGAAGACGATTAATGAAAACGAGGTCGATCATTTTCATTTATCATGAGATTAACTGATTTATTGTTTATCGTGACACGAATAATCTGAATGTTTTTCGATCATTCTCACCACCGAGTTCCTTCTGTTCTGTTGTTGTCCAGCTCGTAACAAACTCTGCAGTTTTTGTTCTGTCCTCCGAGAGAACTGAACCTCTCACTTTATCTCTGAGGGAGAGTCCAGCTACCCTGCAGAGAGAACTCCTTTAGACCTCCTGGATCCAGAATCTTTCAGTCTCTACCAGAGTTCAGGACCAGAGGTGAGGGTAGGAACGTAGACCGAGCGGTAAACAGAGAGCTTCACCTTACAGCTCAGCTCCCTCTTCACCACAACGGAACGGCACAGCATCCACAATACTGAAGAAGCTGCACCATTTTGTTTAATGATCTCGCGCTCCATTCTTCCCTCACTGAGAACTGAACCCAGAGACACTTGAAGTCCTCCATGAGGCAGAACCTGGACCCGGAGAGTCCGTCCACCCTGAGGACCGTGGCCTCAGATTTTTATCATCGTCCATCTCTTTGATCAGAACCGTGTTTGTGACGTCTCTCAGGATTACGCAACATTTTCCTGGCTGTTGGGTAAAAACCCGTCCAACACCTCGTGCAGGGTTTAATCTGGTTGATCTCCAGCGCTGAGTGACAATCGGACGTTTGGACGGATGGAGGCCAGGCAGATTAAAAACTTGGCTTTTCACAGCTCAGCAACAACAGGCTTCCATCTGTGCAAAAGTAATAATCCCTGTGATATAATCTGAGGACACAGGTTTGAGTCAGAGGTCAGAAGAAGCTTCAAACAGAACCCCAGAGTGAGGCGGACCGGACCGTCCTGCTGGGCTTTATTATTTGGGCCTCTCTCTGCTCACATGTTTGGCTCCAGCAGATCGGGCTTGAACGCCTAAATCAGGGATTATTCCTCGACTCTCCGTCTCTTAACCCATTTTCCAGCGTCGGTGGCTCTGCTCATCATTTCAGGACCTGCTGCAGCACCAAGCCCAAACATGAGCCCGGCGGGGGTCCACAGGGGCTTCCTCAGGAAATACGGTGGGTTCTCCTTCCTTCAGCTGTTTTCTGTTACTCAATAATGTGCACGGTCTGAACATTGCATGGACCCACATTCAGCTGTGGATTGTTTGAGATGGTTTTTATTAGCTTGATAAAACGATGATGTCCTGATCCGAGGACAGCTGGAACATTTTAAATCATAAACAAGACTTTCAAAGGATTTTATTTTAAATACTGAGGCAGCAGTGCCAACGACACGTGAGAGTTTCTGTTTCTGTCAGATCAGCGTTTTAATGGAGGCTTGTCCTCCTGAAGGTCACTTTGTCTCCAAGAGAGTTTCTGCAGAACGACGAGACGTTCTTTGTTCCTGGTTCAGGTCCGAGCACCATCGTGGTTCTGGTTCAGGTCTCTGCAGCTTCCATCTGCTTCATATTTCTGTTTTTCTCTGAGAGTTGCATCGTGGCTGTTGGTCTGTTGTCTGCAGTCTTTTTGTCCTGACTGTGGAGGCCGGCGGTCCTCCTAATCCTCACTGAGCGGGTCAGAACTTTACAAACGTAACAGGAAGGTGAATTATTTCACAGGATGTTCTGCAGGGTTCTGAGAAGTTGCTGTGATTTACAGCAGGAGAGGAAACAGGCAGCTGGAGGGTAAAAAGCTGAGCTGCAGGACAGAAACATTAAACACAACAAAACCAACAGAACCAGGATCATTTAATCAGGTGATTGATGAGCTGCAGGTGGAGACGATCAGAGAATAAATCAGCTGAAGAACTGAAGAAGCTGAACAAAGTTTCAAAGGCCATTTGGGTTTGTTTCCATGTTTTGAGGCTTCAAAAAATCAGCACACCTGTCATTCATCAATAATCAGCACACCTGTCAGTCATCTGTAACCAGCACATCAGTCAGTCACCAATAATCAGCACACCT